CTCAAGGGTGTCTCTCAAGGTTCTCTCAAGGCTTCTCTCAGGGTATCTGTCAAGGTATCTCTCAAGGCATCTCTCTTGCATCCCTCAAAGTATCTCTCAAAGTATTTCTCAAAGCGTGCTGCAACATGCTTTTCATTTCAAGAGTTGCCCAAATGTATTCTAAACGCTTCCTTCAAAAGTATCCCTTTTCAGACATCCCTCAAACTATCCCTCGCAGCATCCCTTTCCCTGTTTTTGGATGCTTTCTCGTCACTCAGCAAAGGTGGTGCGCGGGCCAAGATAAGTCTCCTCAGAGCTGTCACGGCGCTTCCGCTTGCCCGACTTCTTCTTCTTCTTCTCATATTCCGCCGCCTTCACCCTGCGCCTTCGCTCCGGCACCGCGGCATGCTCGTGCTCGTGCTCCGCGTGCACCGTCTGACCATGATACGCCTTCTCTGCCGCCGCCACCAAGTGTTCCTGATCTGCCTCCGTCATCTCCGCCTTCACCGTGCGGAGCTTGCGCTGATCTGCCTCCACCGTCTGCTCGCGCTCCGCCTTGTGCTCTGCCGCCACCAAGTGCCCCTGATCAGCCTCCATCATCTCCGCCTTCACCGTGTAGTCGCGCTCCGCCACCGTGCGCTTGCGCTGCTCTGCCTCGTGCTCCGCCACTGCCGTGTGACCCTCCGCCTTCACCGTGTGGTCGCGCTCCGCCGCCGTGCGCTTGTGCTGATCTGCCTCCTCGCGCTCCGCCTTGTGCTCCGCCACCACCGGGTGCGCCTGATCAGCCTCCATCATCTCCGCCATCACCGTCTGGTCGCGCTCCGCCACCGTGCGCTTGTGCTGTTCTGCGTGAGGCTCGCCAGGGCGGAGGTGGCGCCTTACTCGTGCAAGCGGCTGTGGCCTCGCGAGCCTCTTGGGCATGCGAGCGCCGAGGCTCCGCAGCCTCAACCTGCAGCGAGCGCCATCCTGAGATGCTGGGGAGGGAGCATCCTGACACGCTAGTCTCACGCTCTCCGCATCCTGCTCTGCCGCAAAGGTGAGGAAAGCGCAGCACGTCTTCATCGCGTGGAAGGCGCCCTTGCGGACGATGTGCACCTGCATTGGCGGTGTAAGTCCCCCCTGCTGGATGGCCTCCATGATGCCACTTTGCGTGGCAGAGAAGGAGACGTTCCCCATGTACAGGCGCGCCATGGTCAAGTGTTGGCTCTCGAGCTTAAATGGGCAGCCGGCCGACAATATACACTAACATTCTCCAGACATGGTTGGTCTCCAACTTTCAAGGCGTCTCTCCAAGGTTTCTCTCAAGGTGTCTCACAAGATATCTCTCAAGGTATCTCTCACAAGGTGTCTCTCAAAGGCTTCTCTCAAGGTATCTCACAAGGTCGTTTCTCTCAACGTATCTCTCAGGGTGTCTCTCAAAGGCTTCCCTCAAGGTATCTCTCAAGGTGTCTCTCAAGGTTTCTCTCAGGGTATCTCTCAAGGTGTCTCTCAAGGATTTTCAAACAAACAAACAAACAAACAAACCGGGAAACAAAACCTTTTATTATGGTCATTTCGCTTGCGTGGTAACAGAGGACGCCTTCTCTATCCAGCAATGCGCCACGACCTTGGCTGCGGAGCAGGAGTTGCCTGAAGATCGGGGAGGAAGCGCTGATGAAGGAAGGAACAGCGCGCCAAGAGCCACAGTCGCACTGACAAAAGCGCTTCCGAAACGGATCCCTACGTCATAGGCGAATGCTAAACAGCGATAAAAATGCGGATCCTCAAAAAGCGGCCCAAGCCCGCAGTGCCCCTTTGTCTGCCCCAGTAATTAATCTGCTCCGAGCATCCCTTGCAAAATCTCTGAAGACTTGTGCGCATCACACCTCGAGATAAGCCTCCGCATAGCCTTCAAACGCCGAACAGAAGTTGTCCCTCAAAGAAAGCGGGCGTGTTTGAGACAATTGTCCTGCGACAACGGTTTTGTCACATTGCGCGCAATGGAGCTTTTTTTTTCCGCCCGCCATGCTCTTAGTCAATGTCTTCAGGCTCTTGGGCTCGCGCCATGGAGCGCTCCCACTGGCCCGCTGCAGCTTGCCCGGCTTCCCTCACCAACTCTTTGGCTTCGGCCTCAGACCGGCCAGCTTTCCGCGCAGCGTTCCGTAGGCGTCGGGGTGAGCGCGGTGCTTGCCGGACGTCTTGTAGGCTTTGTCCTCCACGCGCGTGCTTGAATCTGGCGCAGAAGCGCCGTGCTGAACCTCGGTGTCTTTCGGCAGCGCCTGCTTTGGTGTAGGCTTTGGCCCAGGCTTGGCCTTCTTGGCTGCTGGCCTCTTGAGCACGCCCTGCCGCGGCGGAGCGCCACTTGCCTGGGACGTTGCCTGCTCTTGGATCTGTTGTTTTTTCGCCGCCCTCAAGATCTGCAGCTGGCCCTTGCCATCTCTGTGGATAGGCTTCTGTTTCTTCATGTTCTGAAGAAGCTCCGCGTCGCCTTCAGGCAAGTCGTGCAGAGCCATAAGGGTGCTGAGAAAACCAACTTGCTCTTGGCGTTGCTTCAAGTTGTCTGCAGTCTTGCGCTTCAATTTTTGAGGCGGGGAACTGCAAGAAGGGCGCTGTCTGTGTTGGAAGCCTGCCGTGAAAGGACGCGCCTGAACACTGCGAGGGGGTCTTTGGAGGCCTGTTCGCACTGCCTGGGCTCTGGCAAGGCTGCACTTGTGTGCGCAGGCATCGGCTCCTTGCGAGCAACCAGCGCCATTGCCTTTGCCTGCGGCTCTGCTAGCGCTTCCTGCGTCTCCACATGAAGCAAGGAGAGCACCGCCTCCCCTGCCTGGATCTGCTCCTTGTCCACTTTCTTGTAGGCGCGCTCCTTGGCAGCGGGATTTTGCTTGAGAACCCTGCTCGTCCAGAGCGTCTGCGAAGTCCTCTTCGGGGCGCTTGGTGTAGTTGATCTTTCCCGCAGCATTCAGCCTGGTCAGGGCGATCTTGTGCTTCTGCCGGGGGATGATGCTGTTGGGCACAAACCGCGCGTATTTCTGGAACAGCGGGCTTATGGCAGCCAGCCATGTCGCATGAGGAGCCGTCTTCCAAGACACATCTGCGGGCATATTCACTATCTTCCAGGCGTCTCTGCTGCCGCAGCTCTCCATTGCCTCCTGCAGCGGCACCATGAGATCTGAAACCGAAAGACCAGGATCTGCCACCAAACGCGACTTAACCTTGAAGGTCGGCCCGGGGAAAAAGTAAGGCTATTCCGTAGCGCTGGCTTTGTACCGGATGGCCGCAAATTTTGCAGACTGAGAAGTGTGGTTAGGGTTTGTTTGAGGCGTCCCGCGATACTTTGAGAGATTCTTGAGAAACGTATACTGAACCATACTGTGAAGGGAAACTCTGGCATCGGCTCTTTGATGGTCGTTGGCGGCGATACCGCGACTGACGGGCTTCCTCAAATGAAAGCAAGAACACCACTGAAGCAAAAAAGGCAGGCCAGCGACATAGCACCCTTCCAATCAAAGTTGGTTTCATGAGGCTCCCACGGTTTCTCAAAGCATCTCTCAAGGTTTCTCTCAAGGTGTCTCTCAAGTCTCCCTCAGGGTATCTCTCAAGGTATCTCTCAAGGTATCTCTCAAGGTTTCACGAACAAACGCACGCACCGACAGACAAGCAAGCACGCACGCAAGCAAGCAAGCAAGCAAGCAAGCAAGCAAACAAGCAAACACACAAACACACAAACACACAAACACACAAACACACAAACACACAAACAAACAAACAAACAAACAAACAGACCAAACACACAGACACACAAGCAAACAACAAACAAAGCAACTAACCGCAAAAGAAACAGACAGACAGACAGACAGACAGACAGACAGCGACAGACAGACTGACAGACCGACAGACAGACGGCGACAGACAGACAAAACAGACAGACAGGCAGATCTCTCCTTTTCATTCTTTGCGCTTCAGGGGCCTGTGGCTTCATCGCGACTCAGGCGGACTCAGGCCTCATTGCCTTCTGAGCCTTCAGCAGCTGCAGCCTCTGGCCTTCAGGTCTCTTAATGCGTTTTGCACCTTCAAGAGCCTCATGCGTCGCTCAACCATCTTCAGTCTTGCCTGATGGTCTCGCGACACCATCTCTAAGTCTATGATCTTTGTCCAGAGCTGGCGCAGCCATAGCGGAGCCGTGGCGTCTATCCCGCCACCCATGCGGGCAAGGCGTGCCTCTGCAGCTAAGAAAAACAGCAGCAGCAGCATGCGGCCGACATAGACAAGCGCTTATAAGACAACCGCCGATCGAAGTCTGCGCGGGCAGCCGCAAACCTTAATAAATGAAAGCATGCTCGAAGCAAGTGTAGCATAACAACATATCAAATGACAAGCAAAGGCGCGCAGACCGAAAAAGTGCCTATTAAACCACTAGCATGCGTCGGAAGACTTGGAGGAAAGTGCGGGGAAAGTGCGGGTTTAGCTTTTCCAAAACTGCGACTTTTTACAGACTGAGCCGCCAGCAGTTTGCAAGAAGTTTCGAGGAAACTTCGGGTTTCAAGGTTTGCCTAAAACCGCGAATTAGACCGAACATTTAACCTAATAGTCAGAAATACTTTTGCCTAATTAGTCTACTTCCGTTTCCAAAAAACCACCGAAAAAAACTACCGAATAGTCAGAACAAGTTCTGACTAATAGTCAAAAAAAAGGCGCATAGGCAAACACGAAATAGACCGAATCCGCAAATTTGTCGAATAGACAGTTTTCTGACTTATCCGGTCTATTGGGTAGCCAATCCGCCATGACGCTCTTTCCAACCTTGTTGCCATAGGACCTGATTTCGGGGAGCGTGGATGGGTGCTACCCCTTTTAGCCAAACAACGTGGTCAGCTGGACGAGATTGATGGAGCTCGCATCTTTCAGCCATGGCACTCCAAGTCGGAGCGAGATGGCCCCTCAATTTGCTTATTCCAAGTCATGGGCCTCTTCAAGCGACTTTGTTCACGCAAGCGCGCTGTGAAAAACGGGAGGGTGGATCACAGGTGTTCGTTACGGCGGGCATGGGAGAAGAGTGGATTAGGCGAGTGATGGTGGATCCTCAAGAGCTACAGGCACCACTTCGTCCTCCTGCACAATCGCCAGCGCGCTAACAAAACATCACATAGCCCTTCACCTCCGTTGGTAGCTTGACCCCCTCATCCAGCAACCGCCGCCTGTACTCGAACAATGTACTCGCTCAGCTGCTGCCTCGCCACAGATCGCTGGGCATGGCCGTCTCCAACTACGGCTGGAAGAGCTCCCTCAGCTGTTAAGTTCCTGAACACCCTTCTCCTCCACATCTGTCTCTCAAACGGCTTTAATCTCGCCGCAACTCGCCTGCAAACTTCGGCGGTGGACCCCTGTCTTTGAATCTGCTGGGAATTCCCTGAGCCTCACCTGCCCCGCTGCCACTCGCGCTTTTCTTCCTCTACACATCTGACCCGGGCATCTGGCACCAGAATGGCTAAGTGGAGTGCACATGCTTTCCCCGTTGAAGTCTGGCTTACCGGCAACATGTTTTCACAATTACTGTCACTACGACTACTACTATCACTACTTTGTAGTAGTACAGCCACCACTAGAACAGCTCTTGCGACAGCTACAAGTGCAACAGCCAGAGCAACTGCAGCAGCAACAAGAACAACTGCAACAGCAACAACAGCGACACCAACAACAACATAAAAACACAGCGCTATGTTGGCGCAAGATCTGCAATGCAAAAGTCCAAGTTCTGCAACGCAAACGTCTAAGGTGCTCCGGAAGCAGTCGCCAGCATTCAAGAGTCGCCAGCGTTCAAGCGCGGAGGCCGGGCTGCCGTCGGCGCTGGCCCGCATGGAGCAACAACAACAGCACGGCGCTGCCCGAAGCAACCATGAGCACGGCCGCAGCAGCCAAAACAACAGCTGCGATAGTGGTAACAATGGCTTGCCTTATGAAGCGATCTTCAGTCAGACAGCCAGAAAACAGCGACGAGGATTTAACATACTGTTTGACGATTGTGAAATATTGTTTTGACCCCTTGCAGACAGCCTCTGGGTTTGATCACCTACGGCCAACGCGGCTATGCAAGTAAGACTTTAAGATCAGTTGGGGCATCAACTCGCTTCAATTCATCACAATGAACCCAGCGCATCCTTTGCGAAGAAGAGCAGCTTGACAAAGCCACAGTCTCGTGAAGTTTAAGATGCACACACGCCAACACACTTACCAAACAGAGTCGGGTAGTCACTGCGTGTGTGTTGATGAACAAGATGTCATGAGAGTGTGGTCACTGCTATGACTTCGGCTTAAGCGCGCCAAACGAGAAAGACACATATTTTCAGTGATGCTCAGAAAGATGAGCAGTAGGTTGTTGCCAAACAATGCCCAAACCTGAGAAAACACTCCCAAATATCCCAAACTTCCTAAGCACAGCTTTGGGTCACGCTTTGAGATTTGCAGCTGGATGTCTTGGGGCCGAGCGTGGCCAATCCCTTTCAATGACCCAATGCTCGGAATTTTGTTGTGCTTGGGCGCCGCGCGCGGTCCAACCGCCATGCGCTCTACCGGCCAGGCAGAAGCCCAGGCTCCCACGGGCACTGACGGGCATAAGCCAAGGAATTGACCATGGGCAATGTGCAACGATGGTCTGACTTGAAATTGCTGTCCACAAGAGTCAGCAGCTGCCTGGGGAATGTGGAGCCGCCATGGCTCAAGGCTGTGCGCGTGCAATGGTGCTGGCCATATGAAATGCTCACGAAGCAGCAATACGCAGACCGCTGCCTCATTGTAGTGTCCCAGCCTGGCGGTGCCCCTTTCCCTTCCTTTTGGGAGGGCATCTAAAATTGATGGCCCATTTTTGGGTCTGCCTTTCTGACACATGAGATGAAAAAGCATTTATCGCAATGAAATTGAATTGTCTTTGGAATTGGTTTCTTTGTAAAATCGATGGAACTTGTTTGGGCTTGCCCTTCAACATTACACCAAAACACATCGTGTTTTTTTGGGGACTGGTGCTTTTAGAATCGAAAGCCTATGTTTGGCCTGCTGCTTTTCCACATAGTCCAAGCAAAGTTAATCGCAGCGTTTTGGTTAGATGGCTTTGGCGACGGCCTACCGTTTTTTGATTTGCCTGGGTTTGCCGCGAACACTAGCCTAAAAAGCAGTACTCAATAGACGCAACGTTTTTTTTGGGGGGTGTCCCTTTCAAATCGATGGCCAATGGTTGCCGGGTTTTTGTTTAAATTTGATGGCCTACTTTGAGGTTCGCCACTAGCCGCTACCAAATTAAAACCATTAGCCGCCACGGTTTGTTTGATGGGGATTGATGGGGCTTCGCTTTCAACAGTGCCCCCAAAAAGAGTGCGGGCCTTGCCACGAAAATCTGAGGTGGGCTGTGGCGGGGAGGCCGACGAACTCCTTTGCAAGCGGCGCTTATCAGCAGGCGGACGGCTCGCACACATCACTTGCGAAGGCAAGGATGTGACACGCGGAGAGACGTAGTCCTGGTGTGTTTGACCTGGAAACGTGTAGTCGAAGGGCTCGCTGCCAGGCGGACCTTTCAAGGCCCTCGTTAGCAAGAAAATTGGCCCAAGGGTCTCCACTGTTGTTTAAAGAGTGTTCTCAAGTGTCACCTACTGCAGCTGGGGAAGAAACCTCCAGTGTAGTAATTATTGGGACTAGGGCCGAAGTCAAAATATCGAGCATACCTGGGCCAGCGCTTGTTTTTGCAATAGAGGGTCCCTTAATTTTGTGGTTGGGTGGTTGGGGGGTGGTTTCCATGTCAACCATCGAACCACACTCCGATTTGATGCTTACGAAGGCGAGAACGACCCGCGTGTCAGCGTGCACCAGAGGGGCCAATTAGGGAGATCCTTTTTCTGGCAGCCGCCAGCCCTCGGCGTACCAGTCTCCGCCTTGGGAAAGAAAATCGGGGCATTGAAGCGGAGGCGCGCTGGCGCGCGTTTAATTTTTTTTTTGGGGCTGAAACAGAGGGCGACGGTTGCCTGCAAGTGGATTGAAACAGATTTTTTGGACTTCTGATATGTTCTCACATATTTTTTCAAAGATATATTTTTAGGCTGTGAATAAGTATGTCAAGCTTCATGAGCCACCCCAGACCGGCCTGCGAGGCGATTTACCAAGACGGGACCGGACGCTGTGGCACTGCGAGACGACCAGACGCTGACCATCTATGATCAAGGACTGGAAATGGAAACACCTTGGCGCCAAAGTCACCGACCCATGGCTCGCACAAAGAACCAAGTGACCCACGTCTGTTTAGTGGTTCGCACATCATATGAGTCCAGGTCCTTCCAGATTCGCTTAAGTTGGTGGATGCTCGCTTTCCTGAAGCCCTTCTGTATTTGTTCGAGATCGGCAACAAGATCGTCACCTTTCCAGATCCCCTGGTTGAAGACGGTAACCAAGGAACAATCCAGGTTTCGAAGAAGGTGCGAACTTTGGCTCCTCTTCGATCCTCACGAAAACCCTTTCCCCTCCTCCCAGCCTAATTTCTCAGCTCTCAACCTCGCTATTCCTCGACGGGGGAGGTTCCTTGAGCATTGTTGAGAGACCTGCGTCCACGAGACCTTCGGCCATATAGGGGTTTTGCGGGCCCCAGCTTCAGAAATTCGCGCCTTTGTTGAAGGCATCCTTTTGTGGTTGTTTGCCAAGGAAACCAAAACCCACCTGGCGGGTGCAAACCATCCCTGCAGCCCCCGTGCAGGAGGGGATCTGCGGCACCTGCGCGTCTTCAACGATGAGGGGGCCTGCGAGGCGGCGATCGAATTTGATGGCTGGAGCTCCTTCAAAATCTTCCGAAGTGATGGTTGTCATCCTTGTTTTCCTTGCAAAACTGCTGCATGTATACCAACTCGACAAAAACATGACTTTCGGGTCTGATTTGTTTAAGGCCCTGAAAGGGCAGGGTCCAACCTATTGCACCACAGGTGGAGATGTCGGGTGAGGTGGTACATTGCCCCAGCCTCCAGCTGGCCCAGGACATGGATGCCACTTGCCGGCCTTTGGACGAGTCAGGGGAGGCTTTCCCACATAGTGGGTATTTTTTCGTGACACATAGTGGGACAGGTTTGGGGTTGTTAGATAACTAAATAGACACCCATTTTTGGATTCGTGACTCTGAGTGTTCCGGACAGTCAACGTACCCTTGAACCTCAAGCTCTTGTCAAGGGGTGGCTTCAACGCTGGTAGACTGTGTGTGGGCAGGGGGTGCAGCCTAAAAGTATAAAGTGAACCTCCAAGAAGATGCGGCATCCAAGGTTGGTGTGCGCGACGAATGCCTGAAGGCCTTCGGCACATATTCTTTCCGCTACCTTATTCCCAGCATTCTGATCCAATGCGCTCTACAGATGCTACGGTTCATGGCCATCACCTACTTGGAAAGTTGCGCGTTGACCGACCCAGAGACATTCTGGTGGAGGCCAATTCTTCCCGCAGTGCAGTTTCTTTTTCTTGCGAACTTGGTGGTGTGCCACATGTTCAATGTGTTCCTCACCGGCGACGACAAAGTCTCCTGGGTGGATCGAATCGTTGGGAACCTCTCGGCAGCTATCTTCTTGTTGGGGACAATGTACCTGGAGCCCAGGCTGCCGCCCATCTACGTGGCTCATAGCGGAGTGGTGGGCTTGCTTCTTGCTTTTGGATTATTTTGGCAGCGCCCAACTGCTCTTGTTTAAAAGGGGAAAGCTGGTTGGGTCAGTTGCGTGCGTTGCCTCAGTGCCTGACTGAGGTTCATAAGCCAGCCCTTCCTGCACTACTACAAAACCATGGCCACGTTCCCTACGCGCCGCTTGCTGCCAAGTTTGAGGTGGGCCATGTGCTGCCCTTTGGTTGCATTTGACTTCGCCGTTGGGTCGAATGTGGCAAGTGAGGCTACACTGCCGTACTGGTTTTCACCGTGTTCAGGACTTCATCCGTCGGCCACCGCCATGCCCGTTGACGATTCACGGTGTGAAGGGGGGTTCGGCCAAACCTGATGAAAGTGTAGCCCAAGAGCCCGATTTGATCCAGAAAAGTCCTATGTTTCCCAATACGGATGGTGAAACACAATTTCCTTTCGGGGGCCTGCCTTTTTCGGACACACCCGCTTGTGAATCAGGGATCGCCAGCCTGACACATGTCTTTTCTCTCCTTGAAGGGTTGTTGCATGGGGAAACCAATCGTATCCCGAAGCTAGCTTGTGTTTCTCAAAATTCGCGACCCCTAAAGTCAAAGAGTTTTTTCCCGGTTTCCCTTTAGACCCACCCAAGCAAGGGTCCGCTATTTTTGAGAACCCACCGGAGGCATAGCGGCAATCCTCGGCGCGGCCATTTCCAACACGGTGATCGGGGTGGTGTACGGGGCCATGCTGCAGACGGGCGCCATGCCCTTGCGTGCCAGCCTCTTTTTGCCGTTGGCCACGGCAACGTGTGAGGCGCGTGCCATTTTGCGGCCCAAGTTTGTTCATGATTTGTGTTGGTGAGACGGATATTTGGGACCCTTGCAGTCTTGTTTGCCGTACTTGTAGTTCAAGGCATGTGTTGTTTTTGACATCTGAGATCAGGAGCTTGAGCTTCTGCATGGTTCTTTTGGGCATGCCTATTTTGCATATTGATTCTGCAGTTTGGGGGGTGGCCATGTTTAAACTAGCACTCCCGGCAACCTAGCGCTTGTCTCATGAACAGTTGCGGCAGCCCCCCCCCCTCCAAAAATTAGTAAAAGATAGGTTCTGAGGTGGGAATTTTCAAGTTAGGGCTTCAGGGTTCAGGGATGAAATTAAACAGTAAGGGGGTCTAACCACGATAAGATAAAAAAGAACAACGACAAGAAAACGTGTATCAATGAAATTGCCTTACAGGACACAGGATGAAGGGAGGATGAAGGAGAAATGAACAGAAGCATCAAGAAATAACATCGATAAATAAACGGAGAAAACACGATATTAGCATAGAAGGAGACATGAAGGGGACATGAAGGAGACATGAGAAGAAATGAGGGAGAAATGAAGGGGAAATGAAGGAGAAATGAAGGGGAAATGAAGGAGAAATGAAGGGGAAATAAAGGAGACATGAAGGAGACATGAAGGAGAAATGAAGGAGACATGAAGGGGAAATGAAGGAGACATGAAGGGGAAATGAAGGAGAAATGAAGGAGAAATGAAGGGGAATTGAAGGAGACATGAAGGGGAAATGAAGGAGAAATGAAGGAGAAATGAAGGAGACATGAAGGAGACGTGAAGGGGAAATGAAGGAGAAGTGAAGGAGAAATGAACCGGAAATGAAGGAGAAATGAAGGGGAAATGAAGGAGAAATGAAAGGGAAATGAACGAGACATGAGGGAGAAATGAAGCATAGACATGAAGGAGAAATGAAGGAGACATGTAGGGGAAATGAAGGAGACATGCAGGAGACATGAAGGAGCAATGAAGGAGAAATGAAGGAGACATGAAGGGGAAATGAAGGAGATATGAAGGAGACATGAAGGAGAAATGAAGGAGAAATGAAGGAGAAATGAAAGGAGACACGAAGGAGAAATGGAGGAGAAATGAAGAACAAGAGAAGGATAAATGAAGAAATGACAAGGGCATGAATCGGGCATGAAGGAGAAATGAAGGAGACATGAAGAGGAAATGAAGGGCAAATGAAGGGGACATGAAGGAGAAATACAGGGGACATGAAGGGGAAATCCAGGAGAAATGAAGGGACATGAAGAAAAGCCGTTCATTTCCCTTCATTTCCCTTTCCTCTTCATTTCCCTTTATAACTTGTTATCGTGTTTTCGGATTTGTTTATCGCTGCTAGATTTCTTGTTTCTTATGGCGGTTTCTGTGTAGGCAATAACAACGCTTTTCGCGGAAGGACCCCCGTCTCGAAATTAAGAATTAAACAAGGTAATCATTTTGTTCAAAGCCAAGGTGTTGGTTCTGGGGATTTCTAAAATTTCTCAACAATTGTTACATTTTGTGTAGTAGCAGTCCAAGATTGTGACATTTTCAAGGTTCAGGTTTCAGACCATTTTCAGGCTTTCTGGGGGATAGAATGGTTTAATCGTATTATAATTAAGTAATATGAATAACAACAGCTACTTTGTCCCGTATTCAATCTCACCAGCGATACAACCACTATAACAACTCATACCATACTCACAACAATAATGTTCATAACCTTCTATTGGTTGGCCAGTGTAAATTTCAATGGATTCGCTAAGAATATGTCTCATATAATAATTGTTCTTATTTTTACAGTTTCAGCTTCATCGTTTTCACTTTCAACACCGGTTGGGGAGCTCTGCTCCCCAAGCGCTGAGGATGAGGACTTGTCCTCATCCACACCGGTAGGGACAGGGATGTCAGTCTGCGGTGCTGATGATGATGAATTAACAGTATGCGTTGAAGAACTATTGACAGTGATAAGCGGAGAACTATGGACGCTGACAGGGGGTTCAGTGTTTAACTCACCTTCTTCATTAACATTTGTACTCAACCAAGTCAGTATAGCACTTGCTATATCATAAGACGATACTAATGAAGTCATAGTTAAATGGATTAATAACTTTGAAATTTGATCGTAGTTAATGTCGTGTGGTATGTTTAATGTGATACAATTTGTCCTATACTAAAACCTGACCTCAACATAAATTCTATAACCCTGATCATCATAAACAGTTTCTTTCTGTATTTATCACTGTCATCACCTTTTTTGTCATCATCATCATCAGCGTCATCATCATATAAATCAGGGTCATATGTAAACGCTACTGCTTCTGCTTCTGCCTTGGACGTCAGTTTGCTCTTTAAATTCTTTGATGATCCACCTAAAATCATTGTCTTGCCATCAAGAAAAACGCTTGCGTCGCCTTACCGTATGGTAGGTCTGTTTGCGTTGCCTTGTTTCTTTGTTAAGCGTTTGTGTTGCCTTATCTGACATCATTACTACTGCGTTCGTTTTTCTGTTATATTTCATTAAATCTGTTTCATCAAAACCAAAATTATTCAATAACATACCTTTCTTGTCTGGCTTCAATATGACTGATGTTTTTTTTGCTTGCGATTGCTTGTTTAAGCATTTCATCATAAGTAGGGCGTTTCCTTAACTCGTGTTTGAGATTGTTAATCATTGTACATACTTACTTAAAAATTATGACAATTAATCTGTCGTTGCTTACCTTTTCCTTTCATACCTCTCCAATCTTCCGTTCTTTTTCTTACCAAGTCATCATTTACTTTCGTCGTCCATTTCCCCTTTGAAATGAATTCTTCAACTACATTAAATGACACCAGAACAACAAGCAAAGTGTGACAGTTTAAAAACCAAAGGAAAGGGCAAAACCAGTCCAAGAAACAATACTTAATTGAAAGCCTCTTAAGTGTAGTTGAAAAAAGATGTCATCTGTGCAAATGTCTCTGTGTTTCCACCTGTCTATGTCTGTGTTGTAAACCTATTGTTTCTCTTGCTTTTCTTGATTTAGGTGGTTCTTTCGTGCTTTCGTCGTCACGAAGTTTCGTGAGGTTCACAGAACTCACGTCCATTGTTTGCCTGTTTTTGTTTTCATTTTCCCTTGTCATTAGTCCTCTTTGTGCCCCTTGTATCCGTTTAACTGCTTCGTCTTCTGTCATCGGCGGTTCTAATGGTGGTATGTCTTCAGAATCGCTTGATTTTGCAGTTGCCATTGACTGGATACTTGGTCTTCTCCCCTCTTGTCCTTCTAGTTGTCTTGCTCGTTGTGCTCGTTCGTGTAGGTCTGCTATTTGTTCGCTACTAACTCCTTTTTGAAACTTGAGTGATTGGTTGTTCGTGTTGTTCCTCGGCGTCGTCCGTTGTAGCAGTTAGTGTTTGTGTTGGTCCGTCTCTTAAATCATCCATTTCATCGTCTCTTGCCATATCAAAATCAGCGACTGCTTTAGGTTGTTCTAATATTTGTTGCAAGTGCAGCTGTGTCAAATCTACGGTATTATTAGCATAAACTGTTCCTGAAGGACTATGACGAGAATAATAGGCACTTCTGCCTATGACATGTTTTTTATTATTTTTATATTCTTCCTTTGTAATTTCCTTGATGAGTTCATTATAAGACGGTCTTAATCTTAATTGTGATTTTAGTGTTTTCATCTGTGCATTGTCTAATCTCATTATTCTATGAAATTGATTAGATTATAAATTGGTTAATCTAATTAATTTATTCAATCTTATAATTCTTTCTTACTTGATTGATTATATCCTTTTTCTTCTTAATCATTTCCGCATAGTTTTCACCTGTTTCACTTGATGGATGGTGTCGCAGCCTGAAACCTTCTAACTTTTGAATCTTACGAAATTGTGATTGTGCTTCATCTTGATATCTTGTTTTATTTTGACTTATATCATAATCTCTCTTAGCGTCATGAAGTTCTAATTGTTCCTTCATTTCTGTCAGATATGTATAATTTGGTTGATGTGCTTTGTTGTCTCGTTCGTAATGATACTGACGCTTTATTTAAACTTCTTGCTTTTTGCTTTGACAGGATTATAAGGTTTGTTTGATGTTGGTAATATACCTGCTTTATCATTCTTTGTTGTTGTGTTGGTGTTATGTTTTCAAATGACTAATTTTCTGTTTATTTTGATTATCTCGCTCTGCCTTCATATTATTGTAACTATCTTTCGCGGCTTCAAATACTTTATTAGCACTTGTTTCTAAATGTTTTTTAAACCTTTCTTCTACTTTCTACTGAACACGCTTTTCTATCTCGTGTTCATCAACTTTTGGAATGTTATCTGCAACTTTTTCATATATTTTGAATTTCTTTTGCTTGTTCAGGATATAATACACACTTTTTAACTGGTTTGTTTACATCAACATCTTTTTTACGCTCGCCCTTACATACATGAGAATGCTTGAATGATGTCTTACTCATTCTTTGGGTTCTTCCCTTGGTTCTTCCTTTGGTTCTTCATTAGGCTCTTCTGGTTTCTCTTCCACTGGTTCAAGTTGCTTTCCGCCTTCATTTACATCAACAACCGTTATATCTTTCATATATATATATATATATTTTTCTTTCTAGAATTAATTGTATAGAAATACATATTAAACACTTTTCTAACCTTCAAAACATGTTAATGACAAAGAAGATGTTGTGCCATCCATACTCAAAAATCTCGACCAGAAGCATCAGTAAAATCTAAAATATAGTCTTCTCAACGATCTCATACTCACATCATTAGCATCATTTACCATCAGTTCATTATCATAGATGAAAATACCGAATGAGGTTAAAACTGGAACCTTCTTTATTCTTGATGATGTACCGAATCTACATAACTGGCTTCCATTACTTAGTTCATTACAATGAATATCAGTATTTTTAACACGTAGAAATGATACACAACCATTAACGAAAGGGTCAACGGCATACTAAAACGTCATTGATACTATTAGGATACCTCTATCATAATCAAC